AAATTTCGCTTTCTGGGTCAAAACTACTCGAATTTCCTCACTCACTTGTTACGACTGAATCGACTTTTCAATTCTCTATCCAACGATGCCAAAACAAATTCTGTGGCTCGAATGGTTGTGTCCATCATGGTGAAAAGAGGAATAAAACATTGACGAAGATTAAACATAGGCATTATGAACATCCGCAGTCGGACAACGTGCTATTAGAATCGACACGGTTTTGCCTCAAAACTACACGGTTTTCCAAAGGAAACCACCGGTAGGTACATGGATGCAGACGACCCCAACTTACCATTCAAACATCCAACGCACTTGCAATAATGCGCCACTTTTCGGCTGGTTGCGCCCATTAACGAGCCCTGCGCTTCACGACAAAGGATTCAATAGATAATTTCAGCAAATAATTCATAGTTAATCAAGTTCGCTTCAAATTAATTCCCATTATCAAACTGGTATAAAACGCCCAAGCACAAGCCAATATTTAGTACTATTCGAAACCACTAAACTACTAGTCGAATTCAACATGAAGTATTTTGGGGCTGTTGCTATCGCTCTAACATTGGTAAGTTCATTCAGCGATTTTTTAGGGGTTTGTGTTAGCAAAATTCATTATTGGGGCTGCGAAAATGCGGACTGGCGGCGCCTGGGGGCGCAGAAACTAAAAATCCACAGGTGGAGTGCGCATTGGGCGCATATTGTTTGAAAAACTAGCAAACACAATATTTACCTCCTCAGCTGCCTTCTGCGGGTGGTTTTAAACACTTTAGCACCTTTTTTCTCAAAAAAACCGGCCAAAACTTTCAACTATTGCAAACTAACTGACAGCTCAGCAGCCATTTAAACAATTGCCGCCACCAAGTAGGCAGCGCCACACCTCGGCGCCACCCCATCAACATCGTAAGCATGTTACTCCACATTGGTATTAAAATACCATTTTTTCTAGGCTTTTTGCTATGCAGCCCCTCAGCAGTCGGGCTCCAGCTCTGGCACCCAAGCTGGAACCTCTGGCCAAGCTGGAGGCTCTGGGCAGGCCGGCTTTGGCTTCGGCGTGAGCGCTGGAGGTAAAATCAGCAACCGAAACAGTTCGCACAATACATAAGAAATTTGTTTAATGTTTAAAGCTTCAGGTCAGCTGGATGGCAGCGGCTCTTCCGGCAAATCGGCCTCGGGATTGGTTAAGCGGGATCTGACCGGCCACGCCCATACCTCTCAGCACACGCGCACCTCCCAGACCCACACAGCCAGCTGCAATCATGGACCTCCACCACGTAAGGCCTTAGAAGCCAATGAGCGACGGAGGTTCTAATTTTTTTTTAAATCTGTTTCAGCCGGCAACTTCACCAACTAAGCTGCTTCCATCGTTGCCCTATTGTTGACATGATTTAATAAATTGCGAAAATATTATACACAATTGGTTTTATTCAGTTGGTTTGGGGTGGAAAGCCTCTGTTTATTGCGTCATAGTGCCAGAGAAATTGGCGCTGATGCTGAAAAAATCACGCAAATCTAAAACTTCTTGAATTCAAGCATTTTTTGAGAAAACTGCCAACAATTCCTTATATCCATATATATATATGATATCCAAAACGAATTATGTGGGTCGAATGGTTCTTGGGAAACTTCGAAAAAAGCAGCGTCATGTTCAAGTGGATTTTGCAACTCAAAAAAAACCACGCAAATCTAAAGATTTCTTGATCATTGAGCGCATATTGAACTGTGGAGTGTTTTTCCATCGGCTGTAAGATCAAATAGAGCCGGACTCCTCTATGGTTTATGCAAAAACTGGCTGGAAACCGCCCAAAAAATATATTTTTAAATTTTTTTATGGTGGAAACAACACAAAATTACCAAAATCAGGGCAGCACACACAAGAACAGCTACTGCCATAACTGCTCAACCGGTAGATACTACCAGAAAACACTCACGGTGATTAGGAAAATTAAGCAATTTGAATATCCTGAGCAATAATTGTCGCTGCTTCCTAAACACGACTAATTATTGCTAAAAAAGGCACGCAAAGCCTTCCTGGACAACGTTCAGAGCTATATAAAGCCTGGCAGGCGGGTAAAACAGCAACAAGCGACAAAATGAAATTCGCTTTGCTAACAGCAGTCGTTGCAGCCGTTCTGGTAAGCAACCCATGTGATTTATCGGTTAAACTGATTTTATTGCCACGCCCTTAAACAGAAAGTGATGGAATTTGTTGGATTTTAGGCCACCCAAACAGCCAGCGCCGAATGGGGCATGCCCGGAGGCGGTGCAGGAGCCGGGGGCGGCGCAGGCGGCAGTGCGGGAATAGGAGCCAATGCGGGATTCGGCTTTGGAATGAATGGGGGAGTGGGCGGCCAAGGGGGCGCAGGCGGCGGGGGCGGCGCCAAGGGCGGGGCCGACGGTGGCACCCAAGAATAAACAAAACGTTGTCTTGAGGCGAATAAATACTTAATTACTGCAAAAAAATGTGTTGTTTGAATATAAAATATTTTAAAGCCCGTGTGCCATTCATCCGTTTTTACGATAATGCGAAAGTGTTTCTATTAGTTGGAGATCTGTCAGTTCACTACTTGTCTTCATCTATGTGTCAGTTCAAACGACAACCTACGAATTGACAGATTGCGAAACACTTTCGCGTCATCGCACGGGCGTCATTCTTGCCAATATTAATTGAATGGCAGGTTTGGCAACTGTGCCAAGAGGCCCTGTGTAGATATTTTTGAAAAAGTGCGAACCGCTAAGCGCTTTCCGCCTGCTAAGGTGAAGATAATTATCGCCTAATTGCAATAATTTTGCGCTGCTCATTACAGCATCCCGTGAACGAGGCAATTCCGCGAACCCCCATTATATGTACATTAGGTCGTGCTACACGACAATAACATAAATTATTATAAATATTATGGAAATTATTATTGTTCTGAACCGGAAACATTTTTATGTTCCGAATAAATAAGCGCATGGAACTGTATAGATAAAAAATGACCACTCACACCCGAAGAGTATAAAGCTGAGCCCCCAGTTGGCTGCGGACCAGTTGCAGCCCGAGTTTCAAGCCGCAACATGTATTTCGCAGTGGTTCTGCCCACTCTTTCCGCCCTACTGGTAAGTACCCGCCAGATAACCGGATTTTACTTAGTAAGTTTATAATGCGAATAAACCGCCGGTCGCTTAGGTGATGGCCAGCGCCCAGTTTCCCCAATACCCGCCCCAATTCCCTGAGGGCCCCGTGCAAACATACGGCCCCCCCCAGCCCTTCTACCCATTTAGAGCCGGAAGTTTCCACCCGATGCGTTACCACATGCCGCCTAGGGAGAACCCGTTCGACCATGTTTTCAACGAAAAAGGCGATCGACTGAGCTGCAAAATGGTGTGCTCCCCATCCAACGACCTGGACGACGTGGAGTCCCCCCCAGAGAAGAAGGAGAGCGCAGAGAACCGCATTGAGAAGAAGGAGTAGAGTGTGGCTTTCGTAGAATAAAGAGGCAACTTCTTTCACAACTGATTTGCGACTTTACTTTAAAAATATATCAGGAACTTCAGTCTTAGAGGGATCGGTCTCTCACGAGTCAACCACTATACCCCCCGTGTCGATGTTTTCGGGGATGATTTTGGCCACTTTTCGCGGTTCCTTCACCAGAGTCTTGGGGCATTGCATCTCTGTCCAACTGACTGGAACCATGGGGTAACCATGCTCACTATGGGCAATCACCACGCCCAATTCGTTCTCGGCCGTGCTCAGCTGGTAAGAGTGGGCCTCCGTTATGGGCAGCTGGAAACGACATGGTGGGATGTGGGCGGGTTTTGTCAAACCAAGGCTCGCCAGAGGCTCTTACCACTCGCGCCAACACAATATCTCCAGGCCGGAGACTTTTAAAGACCTCGGCCTTGTCCTTTTCAGTAGCTCTGATGTTCTCCCGCCGGATTAGACCCCTGTAGGGGCTCCTCAGCACTGTGCTGCCAATGCATTTTATGTAGCATTTGGCAAACTGCTGAGTAATTATATAGACCTAGTTGAACAGCAAAGAGAAATGGAGAATGCAAACTAACAGGTTCTGAGGACGGTTGGGGGCGACACCCTTTCAGCCACAAATAACTTGCTTAAAAATGACTTACCTGGGCAGTGACTATGTCGCCTTGGGTGGGAATCACTGTCTGCTCACCGGTGCTGTGCACTTCGATCACTTTTACCCCATTGCGATCAACCACGTCCACAGTGCCGGCCAGCATGGAGTAAATGTAGCCCTGCCTTTGATATGTGCCCTGTCCGCAAGTGTAGACGTTGTCGCATATGGACAAACGTTGGCCCGGAAGGCAGATGGGATTCTCCATGCTGATCACACTATTAGTATCACTTTAAACCAAATTTCTGCAGAAACAAACACACAACAAACTTTAGGGTTAGGACAGTTCGGAAACCAGGTTAGGGTTCGGGGAAATGACAGGTTTTCCTCCATGTTGCTTTTAACGAAATGCGTTGTTGCAAACTAGAGCGTTGATAATTTTCCCCAGCCAATCGCTATAGAAACGGGAGTTTTTCAGTTAGTCGCAGCTCCTAGGCGATTTTTCCCAAATTTTAGAAAATACAACCTCAACGTTTGCTGCAGGAAATTAAAAACAACTGTCGCAAAACTGCCGCTTTTTGCCAATTTCGCAACGTTTGCGACTGTGGAACAATGGAAACACGCCCATAGTGACAGTGACAGCACTGATTTCACCTTGTTTTTGTGCTGTTTTTTCACAAATTCTACCTATTTCAACAAAGTGCTGCCTGCCCGAGGTACAAGAGAGGTAAGGCCCCAACTGCTCCACCCGGCCTTGGATACCCGTCCATCAAAATCCCACTAGTACCATTTCCATTAGAAAACATTCTCCTTATCTCTCCTGCTTGTGCTTAATCTCTTGGAATTGTTATTACTCATAGAACCGATTGACTCATTAAACAATCAGCCAGTGAACTTTGTTCTTGAAAATTTTCGTGCATTGTGAAGGTGTTTTTAAGGTACTAGGTCTAACATATTGCACAACTGAGTTTTTGTTCTTACAAGCCCCTTGGGCCCCTTGGCTTAGCTTGTTCAAGTTTTCCTGGCTTTCATAAACACACCCCGCATATTGTCATATAATTTGGCTGGTTTGGCTCAATTTAACGCCACAGTGATAGGGGAGCATTGAGAATAAACGACCCCCCAGAAAACGTTTTGATCATTTCCGGTAGCAAAATCCATCTTAAGGCAGCCCCTTGCTGCCCATTGGCTTGCGGTGGAAGTTTAAGCCCGAACGGGGCGGAACAGTGTCTTGTGAGTGTGTGCATTAGTCAGTAAGTACCCTGTTTGCATTATACTGCAGTTGGCACGCTTTTTGGAAGTTCGTTTATTCTCCAAAGCTCAATCGGCGTATAATCCTTGACGCCATGCTGTTTCAGGTGGATTAAACGATGACCATGGACGACGGCACTCCAGTGACCACCGTTATACTGCCCGTGCTGATCCGCCACATCCTTTCTCAGATGGAGAAGCAGGATATGGGGGCGGCTCAGACGCTGAGGGCCGCCTTCGCCAAGGCGGAAAGCTCCCATCCAGGCCTGTCCCTAGACTTCGTGATGGGGATGCTGAAGCAGGCGGATCTGGCCGTTAATATGAACGAAAGCATTCTGAGACTGCAGGGCTCGGTGGCCGATACCGACGAGTACAAGCTGAACCGCTCAGAAGACTCCTTTCAAGAGTTGAACCGGAAGTCTGCCTCGCTAAAGAAGATCCTCAGCCGCATCCCCGACGAAATATCCGACCGCAAAAAGTTCCTGGAAACCATCAAGGAAATCGCCAGCGCCATCAAGAAGCTTCTGGACGCCGTTAATGAGGCCTGCGTCTATATACCGGGCACCACTGGCAAGCAGGCGCTGGATCAGAAGAAGCGCGAGTTTGTCAAGTACTCGAAACGTTTCAGCAACACTCTGAAGGACTACTTCAAGGAGGGCAACGCCAACTCGGTATTTGTCAGCGCGCTGTTTCTGATCCACCAGACTAACATGATTATCACCACCGTTAAAAACAAATGCGAGTAGATTTTTGGAGGCTGTACAAAACTGGTGTGGCTAGCCGGTGGCTGACGGAGCTGACTCACGGGCAACTAGGACTGGATTATTCACAACGCTGCTGTTTTTCCTTTTATAAGTACCAACTGTTTATATCTAATTTATTTCTTTGTTCTGCAATAAATTATTTAAGTCCCGATTGCTCTTTTCAGTCCTCACTGGTCAAGTTCCGGTCTTCTCAGCGAAGAAATTCTTCACCGGTTGTAGCAATAATTCTTCTGGTATATTGCAGGATACCGAAAATGAACGACTTAGACCGGCAATTGAGCGAGCTGGCGCTGATCAACAAGTCGGAGCTGCCGCCCAACCCCCATCTGATGAACCCGGGGAAGAAAGTGGGCCCTGCCGTGCCCCCCAAACCCAAAAAGCAGCAGCCGCTGGTGAGTGAACAGCGCTGAGAGTTCAGTCCTCAAATCAGTCGCAATTCGCCCTCAGGTGCCACAGTCGTACCCGCTCAAGCAGCCTGTGGAACCCAGCTATTCGTCCCGGATTCAGTCCGGGCAGTTCTACTCCAACCTGCCCCCTCCGGGCAGCCAAGCCCTGTACTCAAACACCCCGAACTTGAGAGCGGCGGACTATGCCAGAGTGTCTGAAAGTAATTACGCCAATTTGCCAGCGGGACGCAATGAGGATCAGTACTCGCGCAGCGCGTCAGCGCTTAGCAACAGTTCGCTGCCCAGAAGCACTGTCAGCTACGGCAGCGGTTACGCCACCAAGAACACCAGGTTAGTCCCAATGGGTTTTGTGCAAACCCAAGCTCACCCCCTCGCCTTTAGTACGGCGTCGACTTTGGGCGGCAGCCCCAAGCCCTACCTGCCCTCCCAGTCCGACGTAACTTATAGCAACGTGCAGATGGCCCCAAGCAGGCACAACAACAGCATGATCTACAGCAACTTGGCGCACCCACCGCGCGACGGCGCCGTCTACAGCAACTTGCCGCCAAGTGGAGGCGCCTTCCCCAATGGAGGTGTGTACAATCGATTAAAGATGTGAATCATTGCAGAAGTGGACAAACTGTGTCTCATGTGATTGTAGATGATCTGCCGCCTCCTCCACCTCCGTTGGATATGAGCTCGGGCCTGGCCGACTATGCGCCTTGCACGGTGAACACCAACTTGCCCCCGCCCCCAGAAGATCTGCTGCCGCCGCCGTCTCCTGTCAGCTCCAGCTACAGCGAGCTGCGCAGAGCCACTGAGCCGCGACAGGATTTTCACAACTACAGCATGGGCTCGCAGGTAGTCAAAACCGCCAGTTCTGGCTTGGAGTTTCTAAGTTTTCGCCTCCTATCAGGCTTCCTCCACCTACGAGTCGATCTACGAACCGATCAATCCACGGCCGCCCAGTCAAATGTCGTCCAGGTCCAACTACTCGTTGTATGCCCCCTACAGTGGGGCCAGCAGTGCTATGACTGGTAAGTTGGCGGTTTGGAGAGTCGAACTTGTTGTTGAGAATTGTCGTTGCAGGGCCGAGCCAATCAGTGAGCCGAATTGGGCACAACAAGGAACAAGAAGTGGATAGTTTGACGGATATGCTTGTCCAAGGCATGCGCCCGCCCACCTCAATTGACCACGAAGACGTTTATGGCGTGTGCGTCAAGTGTGGCGATAAGGTAACAAGCTCCGCCCTATTCTAGTGGAAAAGTCCATCTATACGACTATGATTGATTGGCAGATTGTCGGCGAAAACAGCGGCTGTACGGCCATGAATCAGCTCTACCATATCAAATGCTTCACCTGCCACCACTGCGCGATCAACCTGCAGGGCAAGCCGTTCTACGCGCTGGACGGACGCCCCTATTGCGAAGAAGACTATTTGGTAAGTGCAGTGAACACAGACATATCAGCGACGTTCTACGGCTCTTGTTCCAGAACACCCTGGAGAAGTGTTGCGTGTGCCAGAAGCCCATCTTGGATCGCATTCTTAGGGCGACTGGCAAGCCTTATCATCCGTCCTGTTTCTGTTGCGTGGTCTGCGGCAAGAGTCTGGACGGAATCCGCTTCACTGTAGATGCCACCAATCGCGTGCATTGCATCGAAGATTTCCATAAGTAAGACAACGTCCTAACAAGAACGGTTACAATGTGACGAATTTGCGAATTTTAAGGAACTTTGCGCCTCGCTGCTGGGTTTGCAAGCAGCCAATAATGCCAGAGCCCGGCGAAGAGGAAACTGTGCGCGTCGTAGCTTTGGACCACAGTTTCCATATTCAGTGCTATAAGTGCGAGGTTCGATCATCATCATCATCTTCGGGCTTGGGGATTTTTAATTTTTTCTGGTGTTTGCAGGACTGTGGTCTTGTGCTGTCGTCCGAAGCTGAAGGCAGAGGTTGCTACCCTCTAGACGGCCATGTACTATGCAAAAGCTGCAACGCCAAGCGGGTACAAGCGCTCACCAGCCACATGACCACCGAACTCTAGTGCTACCGGTCAGTACGGGTTTTCCAGTTAATTTTAGTTTACGGAATACACACATTCCAGCTTATTTTCGGGCAGTCTATTACTTCCGCGGTTCAGTATTCAGACCAAGCAGCAGGGTAGAACGCTCTTTAAATGCTGTGCGTTTTATTAGTAGAATTATTAAGTTTAACATAGATTTTATTGCCTCATATTCACCCAGACGGTTGCTTTCCTATACGATAAGTCTTAGTCTTTTTGAAAATTCCAGTCGATTTAGTTAAACATCATTTTTGTGATTAACTACGTGAATGTGCCAATAAATAAGTACATGAGGAAAAATAACACGACTACAGCCCATCCGTCCGTGAGTTCGTATCTTTGTTGTACTTTACTCACCCCATCTCTCCATCCTTTACTAGAGCCTCGATTGAAACGCTTCCAGTCAGATCCGACCTGGCTGACGCAAGTGTCACAATTGAAAGTTTTTGAATTCTTTGTGCAAATTGGGGCCCTATTCGGGCAGCAGCGGAGCCCATATGCGGAAAAGCACCGCTTTGGTTCTACCTAGAGTTTGCAGCGCACGGGTAAGTGATTTTTCGTAATAACCATTGCTGAGCTTTAAGTCGACTGTGCGGCTCTATTTGAGCCACCTACAACACGTCCCCAAAAAAAATCTAACGCAACTCGACCGACAATAAGCGCGATAATCACAAAAAAAACTTGAAAGTTACTATGAAATGACAATTTTTTCTCGCCATTTCGACGTCGTTAACGCGGCGAACTGTCACAGGGAAAGACGTCACAAAAGAGTCACTTTAACCTTTTGTTTCATTTTAGAATATGTTATTTATTATTACAGAATTAAACAACTTAAACAAATGTGAAGTACCTAAAAATACAATTTAAGTCAATTGATACAGTACATAAGAAATTCGACAAAGACGCATGGTTGCAGCTACCGATTTTCGTATTTCTGGAATCTAATTTTCTAGTTCGCGGAATTCGATCAAGCAGAGCGACTCAAAATTGGCGTCATTTATCTGAAAAAACTCAATAAATAATTTAAAAAGTCTTGAGATACCTGGCAAATACTGAATCATCAAGTCGGCAACAGTGTATTTGATCCGTACCTTAAAATTAACTAACTTCCATCCCTCTCTATCTCTTGTATATAAAGTGCATAGGTAAAAGTAAAGCGGCTTTTGTCACAGAACATACCCTTTATTTTGGGGGGATATTTTGTGGCTTTTGTTTGACGACCACTGAGTGCTACTGCGGAGGCTGCGATTATTGTTTATGTTATTGTGTGTAGGAAACTGTGCAGTGTGTTTTTTGTTTAATGTGACGTGAGCCGATTCTACCGTTTTCACTTTTTATCTGGTATGCCTTACTAAAAACCGCCCCTGAAAAGGTGACTTGTTTTCTTACGAAACAATGGTTGGGTGAGGTTATGTTTGCTAACAGTTGTGGGCTTTCTCTGATTTTCAATCCACCTCAAATTACTTGCGATGTTATTTAAGTAAATCAAGCGACAAATAGCTGTTAATTTGGTTGTTTATGGCCCCCCGCTTTTTTGTTTATGGGATCACCAATCAAACTGTCAGTGCCACTTTGTAGGACTGCTGATGTTCAGGCTTTATTTGTGCTCTTCTATAAGTTCATGCCCTAATCAAGTTCGTTGTTGTTTCCGTGATTTCTCGCCTCAGTTTCACTGAGAAATATGTCCGCCCAGTGCAGGAATCCGAGAAAAAGCAACTTTTCTCAGCAAGAGGTTGACGTCTTGATCTCCACAGTGAAGCGGAACCACGACATTCTCTACCGGGAGCATTCCAAGAGTGATTTCCATAAGGAAATCCGCAACCAGGTGTGGAAAATCATCTTGGATGAGGTGAACAAGGTGTCATTGGAAAGGCGCACTTTGAGCGAGATTAAAAACAAATGGAAAAAGTGTCAACCCAAAGTGAGGTCGTCCGAAGGCTCCGATGGTGTCGACTATCACGATTCTGCTGAGGATTTAGGTAGGTTGTTCCTACTGCCGGATATTTTCACAAATTGTTGCTTAACATCACTGACTGCTTTCTTTTGTCATCTACTGGCTGATTTTGGGGCCGTAATCACTGCCATTGTTTCCCAAGAAATCACGTTACATTCGCAAGTTCAGTGCTTGTTACCCTTGCACAAATGCGCATTTGTTATTTCTTGAACTTCGGGCACACTATGCTGATGCACTTAAGCAAAAGCAGTTGGCGAATTCGGCGTTAATACACTCAGAAATTTAACATTCAGGAACGTAGCAGTGCGGTTTTACGCCCTAAAGCACTGTTGCACCCAGATATTTATCGGTAAATCATGCTTTCCACTCAAATAAATCATTAATCAGTGCAACAAACTTTTCTGGAGTTCTCCAGATTCAAACTCCTGCTAATTTTCAAGAACGCAGCTTTAACATGTCAATAGTCAAACTCCAGCTGATTGATTCAACTGCTGGAAGCTGAATTGGAGCGTTGCCACGTTGAGCATAAGTATTTCTTACTTTGCCCATGGGAACGTACCAGCGCAGTGTAGATTTCCGGGCATATGAAACATTTTGGGCGGTTTGGCACCGATGCGCTGCTGATGTTTGTTTACTTTCGGTACTTTGTCAGTGTTTTTCGCCAAATGCTGTTCAGGTTTAGAAAATAATGAAATTCGCATTTATACAAAGTTAAGAAGCACCCTGGCCAACCGGCACAACCTGAGGAAGTTGAGCTATACGGTGTTCGAAAATTTTTCCTTGATCAATTAGGTTCCATGGTTAACGGTTGTATTTAGTAAAAAAAAACAATGCGTACCAAAAAAGCGCGTAACCGCAACGTGCCGAATCCCGTAGCGCGCGGTTTCCCATCCTTTTACGAGCCCTCGTTCAAAAAGACGGTTATTCTGTTCGCTGAGCAGAAGAACAATCAGGAGGCGCACAAACGCTACGGAATCGCCGATGAAACCATCCGACGCTGGAGGAGGCAGAAGAAGGAGATTCTGGGCCAAGCCGACCAGTCGATCCGAAGATCACAAAGGCGACACGGAAACTTCCAGGACTCCGCCCAATCCGTGCAGAGCAAAAGCCAGGAGGATGCGGCGGAGGGCTCGGCCACACACGACTTAGGTATCAATCTGACCACTAACTAAAGCACCTTTAAGTGGCGCTGGACGATTGAATCTGGTGCTTTGTTGCAGATTCCATGCCGTTGCAACAACGACTGTCTCAGAGTTTCAATCAAGAGCCCTTCGCTGCCCAGCCGGACCAGGAGAGTGTGTTGCAAAGCTTAGCACTTTCGCCTACAAAGCTGAAGGTACAGGCCCATATTTGCAGGGGCAGCCAATGAAATGCCAATGAAATGCGTCGATTTCAGGTGACACGGCAAGGCAAGTCCTCGACGCAGCCCCTAACGTCTCAAGTTCCACCTCCACAGGAGGTTTGCCTCAAATGGAACACCCATCACATCAACATGCAGTCGGCATTCCCAACTCTCTTAACTAAGGGCCAGTATGTGGACGCCACTCTGGTGGCCGAGGGCAGGACTTTGAAATGCCACAAGGTGATTAGTAGTTTCTGCTTTAAGGAAGGCAACTCACCATCGCTTTGCAGATGATTCTCTCCTCGTGCAGCCCGTACTTTGAGGAAGTTATGAACGGCATCGGCCCGTTGGAGCACCCGGTTTTGTTCATAAATTGGCCCTATTGGGTACTGGAGGCGCTGTGTGCCTTCATGTACGCTGGAGAAGTGAATATTAAGGAGAACCAGCTAAGTGACTTGCTCAATGCAGCCACCAGCCTTAAGGTGAGTGGGACATTTAGCGATTCCTGCAAACACTCGACCTTGGGGCTTTGTAGATCAAGGGCTTGGCGACCCCCAGCCAATCAAATGATTCCGGTACACAACCAATCAAGCAAGAAGTGCGCTCATCCACTCCAACTGCTGCGTCCGAGAAGGCTGTGAAGGAAGAAAATGACGAAGAGATTAAGCTGGCCAAGCACGAGTTGAAGTCCAAGAAAAAGGAGGATAAGAGGACGAAAAATGCCAGCCAACCGGCGAAGGCCAAACCGCCGGAGGCCCCTCTCCTCAAACTGCCACCCAGGGTACTAAAGCAACAAAAAACTTGTTTTTTGCATGCCACAATTTTTTTTGTCCAGTTATCGGCTGCTACCAAGACAGTGGCCAGTGTGGTCAAGCCTCTTGCAAAGCCGTTGCCCAAACCAGTGACCACAAGAGGCGCTCTCATGGCCCGAAGAGCGGAACCCGGTAGGAAGGCCGAAAAGTCCAAACCTGAGGGCCCGGGGCTCAAGGAGAAAGACAAGGTAGAACTTGCGGCGCTGTTTAAACCGCTGTTAACGCATTTGTGTTTAGGACAAGACAAGACCGGTGTTAAGGAAGGGCAACATCAACGATCCGTTGGACTTGCTGCAGCCGGTCTATGAGGAAATAGCAAAAGTGCCGCTGCCGCGTCAAGCGGCAGCCATTCTCAGGAACACGAAGGAAAAAGCTGGGGTTAGCATCCGCAAGACCGTTGGCAGAAGAATGAAGAAGCGCAAGCACGACCTGCTGGATCGGGATGAGGTACAAGGCCGCTCAGTAAAGTCGCACAGTTTTGCTTAAAAACATAATTTGTTTAGTCGCCGCCTCCCGACCTCCAGTCGCTGAAAGGAACCCGATCGCGACCGCAGGCCAAAGTCCCCAAGTTTTTCCACAGCCACTTTGACGACTCTCTAAAAGACCCTGCGGAGGCCACCATTGTCCGCGAGCCCCACACCGACCAAAACGACCCTCTTATTGGCGTCGAAGTGCAGGAAATAAAGGCTGAACCTTTGGATGTGGACGACAACGCCTTGGAGCTGGAAGAGAGCAGCCTTTCAACCTACATGGTGGCAGGTGGGTTTTCTTCAACGCCCCTGTCAGATCTTCTTTTCTTAGCTAATGTTTTCAGCCCATGAAATGGGACTTGAAGGGGAGGAAATCATCGGCAACTACGACAGTCCGTTGGTGAACATTAAACGGGAACCAATCAAAAGCGGTCTTTCCAAAAAGGAGCTGCATCCCTCGCCTGTGATTGTGGATGTTCACACGGTATCCGAAGGCGATGGAGGGTAAAACCCACATCTAAAGGCTTCAGTTTGCACAGTTTAAGAATGTAATTTGCAGATTGCTGACGATCAAGAAGGAAAAGGTGGAAATAGTGGATATTGCGAAAATCAGCGCGCGAATAGAGTCTGAGACGTTTATCAGCACACCTGCGTTCCATTCGGGCCTCGGCATGCCAAAGCCATCTCAGATCATCATCAGTCACGTGCAGAGCATGGCCGAAGAAAATCTACCCCAGTTGCAGGAGAAACAGTCGCATCCCAATGAGGCCGAGTCTTTGGCTCCTGATCCCGGTCTGCCTTGTGAACCGGACCCGTTGGACCTGCATGAGTCGCCGGTCATTCCAAATTCTACCAATGATTGTCCCTCAACAGCTTGCAAGCCAACTGCAGACAATTCCGACGGCCAGCCGGAGTTTGTGGTGCTCCAAAACCACCAACATACGAACTTTGAAAGCGGAAGCCTGGGCAGTTTGGAAGGGCATTTGGAATTAGTCAACTTAAGTGAAAGTTCCAGGATAGAGTCCATTGCGGAGGAGAAGACAGTTGAACCGTCGGCAGCTATAGAAGCACTTGATTCCACAGAGGGAGCAGTTGTGGAGCCAAACCTGCCCAACAAGCTGCATGTGGGACCATTGCAAGCCTGCGAGGAACCGACGGCTGCTTTGCTAGGGGATCCCGAGCTCACTGAGCCTCCCTTGGAAGAATGGGCTGATCAAGAACCTCCCATGGAACCGATGGTTATTAGCCAAAACAGTGAGTCCTGCGAGCTGCTGGCGCAAAGCAACTGCCCGGCTGTAGATGACGCTGTTTCGCCGGAGAGCGTGGAGAAAATTGACAAAATCGAGGCGGAACTGGAAGAATGTCTGGCGTCCACTTCGGACTTGGCCCCAGACAAGCCCATGTCATTTGAAGACAATGAAGACTTTTCCAAGGATATTGAGACTTTCATCACGAAGAACAACTATTTGGACTACGACTTTGTAACGGACGTGAGCATGGAAGGGAAGAATGACTGCCAGACTGAGATACCAGATGAACAGCAGGTTCCCGCAAGCAAACCAGAAGAAGAAGCAAAACCGGAAACTTTCCAGAATGAAGACAGGATTAATTCAGTGGGAAATAGTGAGGATTTTCCAGGCTGTGCAGAGGACGCGCAACAATTCCTTGCAGACCTGGATAGCGACATAATCATGGATAGCGTGACTGGCCAGCGGCAACCGGAGAAAACCCTTGAAATGATTGTGAATGATTTGAACGAGAGTCTAGGAGAGTGAGGGTTTGGAGGCGGAGAAGCTAAATTTCTCAGGGCTTTGCCAGTAGGAGCTGCGGATGTTTCTAGTGAACCATTTGCCATATTTACTTTCTTGAATCCATAGTTAGTTTCAGTTCATGTCCTCGCCTGTATGGGATCAGGTTTTCCTATTGGTCTTTTGAAGCTTTGTACATATAAAGAATCAAGCGGTTTTTTAAAATTAGAATCCATTATCCACGTGGATGTTTAGTCGGGTAGCATCTATGCTAGGTATGGTAGCTGAGATTTACATTTGAAATGCCTAGATAATCTTTTTTGTAGGGTTTTCGCTCGCTTTACGCATTTTATATGATTGTGTTTGTTACTGTGATTTACTATTTATATATTTTTGTAGTTTATACTGAGTAAACTAGCTTTAGATTTAAGTTTTCCTACTTATTCAGTGCGCCCTTTTCACTTTGCGGTGACACTTTCCATTTGTATATTAGGATGATTAAATAAGTTTAATGTTGAATTACTGGAATTCCAATCAGTTCACGGCTCCCCATTTTTCCATCCTTATCAGTTGGCACGTGCGGATAAAGGAAGTAATTTCGCAATGATGCTTCACGCAGCTGGGCTGAGATGGCGCAACTAGTGTCTGTGTCTAAAACATGCTTAGACTTGCTGTAGTGATTTCTAGTCAAGTGTTTTAGTGCGATTATTCAAAAATATGCTCCCTGTATGGTATTTCTGAGTATATTTTGAGTCGCGTATATTTGAGGCGTATTTGGTTCCAGGTAAGGCCCATTATTTTATGAATTTTGCCGAAGCAACGCTTGAAATTCTTAAAATTACATAGTTACATATTTTACAGCGGATTTTGCTAATTTTGCATTTTGTCTATGTTTAATACCAGATAATGTCTAGATTTGCTGCGTTTTTCGTTGTTAAAGGTGCTTAAATCCAATTAAAAAAAAAATCTGACAGCCCCTTTTTGCCATGACGTCTACCGGAAAACGGGGCTATTTGCTATCTTTTCTGTTTGGGGCTGTTCGTTTGAGGTCAATTGCTCGTTAAAATGGCCTGAGGGCCTTCAGAAGCCCCTTAATCCAAAAAGTCGAAAAAAATCAAAAGTTTCAAATCTCATTTACAAAGCATGCGCATAAAGCTCAAAATTCAACTGCGCTGACCACTGAGTTCCGACAACGAGAGTGTTCGGATTTTTTGCTTGAAATTGTGATATTGTTAGGGGACCATTAGTTTAACTCATATCCAGAGAGTTGAAAGCTGAATTCATTGTAAAATTTTACGTTTATTATCACGAAGTATGCACAATAATTCGTTTAGTTAAACACAAGAACTAAATTTAGTCGCCTCTCGTTGACAATGCCGGTAAAGACAGGAGCGGCATTATTGCCAGATTTCAGCTGATTTGAGGCGTTATTATAGAAAGAGAGAGAGAGAAAATGAGAAAGATATTATTATATATTTACCGAGTGATTTAAGATATCGATAAAATAAATTATTTCCGATTTAAAATGTCTACCAAAAGTCAGTTTAAGATTTATAATGTTGAATGAATTTTTAAAAAAATTATTAAAATAATATACATGATAGTTTGAATAAATTTTACTTAAATAAAAACGTGGTAACAATATACGCAACAATATAAACAAACAAAATTAAATTTAAATAACCATTCTAATGTTAACTTAGCAGCAGTCTTTTAATGAAATTACAATTTTCAGACCGTAATGTTTGCACTGAAGTTCTTATTTCGTTAGAAATATTAAAAAGTCTTTCCTAAAGTTCTTCGATTGTATTCTGAAATGGATAGAGTTATTAAGCAGTAGGCAATTTTCTGTTTATCAAAAATCAGTTCTTATGATTGCATTTCAAAAGTGTTAAATCAACAAAGATCTTATGCTCCACAAGAAACGTAATTTTTTTGAATATTCGTTATTGAACCATAAAAACGTTGAAATGCATGTTTGTTGACAAATATCCCACTAACTTGGTTGTCGCTATATTTTATCACAAAAGAATTAATAGAAACATTATTTTTTTCAAATAGAAAATTTGCGTCAGTTTAAGCAAATTTGGCGTGTTTTTTCCTTGTAATATTCAGCTGTACCAGTGGTTGGCCAAATGACTATCGTTATTCCAGCATCGTGAAAAGCTAGTACCTTTCAGAAGTATAGTCTATATTTTTGCTAAATAATTGTACCCTGTTTGAAAGTAAACTGAACTACAAAACACTACCGTAGAATGGCCTTCAATTACCTTATAGTGTGTACCAAAATTTCAGTTCCCAATGTTTAACCGTTTTAAAGAAAAACAACAAAAACTAATATTTTTCGCCATTTTGGAGATCAAATATCTTAAAAATGAGACCTTAAATTAAAAAAATTCTCAGGAAGACACCTTCTAAAATGACTAGGAGAACACGCTGCTAAAATATTTGAACATATTTACGGAATACCCTGTATAAATAACAATTATAAAGAAAATCAAACACAATTTTAGTTTATTCACTGGGGTACCATGATTTGTACGATAATGTTTATTGAGACTTCCCTGTGTTGAAAAGCTTTTTTGACAAGTACTGCAAACATTGGAAATAGACATAACTAATGATATAAAAAGAATGATATAAAAGTTATTATTTGTACGTTATTACGACGAAACGCTCAAGTCAAAACGTGGTCAGACATAAACCAAACCACTTCACTTCTCACTTTTAACAGTTCTAACCTCACCTTTTTAAGATTTGACGATACCTGACCATTGAACTATATACTAACGTTAGTATATAGTTCAATGTACCTGACATAACATTAGATACTGGCAACGTTGTATTCCAAGGGGGCTACAATTAGCCGCTTCTGTAAAGACGACATTTTAAATTTTGTGACTTGGACAAATTCCAGTCTCTCAATGGTAAAGCACTTTGCGCTATCGATTTTGCCGATTTCTGGTATTAAATGCGTTAACGCATTCATTCGCCCATATTGGGGGTTAATCAACATACAAGTGGCATGTTAATACCGCAAATCAATTTATTTGGAAAATTATGACAGTTGTGCTATGTGTAATATTCTAACCTCATTCACTGTCCAAGTTGGATGACAATTTTTTAAGTTTTAATTCTGTTCCAGGACGTGCGCGGCAGCCCCAAGCAGCCAATGGGATTTTTGCGACATAAGTTGGTGCATGTTAAAGTATCGGTAGTCGCAAGCTTTTTGGCAGTGACGCAATCATTGTCCAGCGAGCAAACAGGAAACTTCATGTTATTATAATGCCGAAATTGTTTCAAAGCGACCTAAACGCCACGTAATATCGCTGTATAAGGTGGTCTCAACCCAAAAATTCCTGGCGAAAAAACCCCAAGGTCCCAAGAGTGGCCGACAAAACAGGAAACACAGGAAACAGACATTTTGCCAAGTCAATCTCCTGCCATCCCCAAATTCAATTCGGGATTCCTTTTAGCGAGAGCGTACGAATGCTGTGCGCCCCACGGCCCTCTGGATCCGGTATCCCGTTCGCGTGTTCAGTTGCCTTCTGGATCATTCTGCAGGGATTTCGGCTGTTCGTTCGCCGCAACTTTCCCGCACGTTTCTATTGTGCGAATTTTCGACTTCTTTCGCAGCTTTCCAATGCCTGCAATGAGAGAATTTCAATTGACATTGGCAATTTGTGATCCTACGTGGCAACAGTGGCACTATTTCACTACAAATTTTGGCCAATAAGGGGTGCGATCGATGATTTTCAAATTGTTGACGTGGCCACCGTATGACAAGTGGCAAACAAGTGTTTGGCCTGTCATTGACGCATTGACAGGTTTTAGGGGTTAGGTTAAGGCTTGTTTTCTTCCCCAATTGAAGCGGTGTTGATTGTGAAAAGTTTGAGACTCGCTTTTCCGTGATTGTCGGGCAAGTTTGGCAAATCGTGCCGCCCCTTTTCCCCCTTCAACAACGCGGAATCTCCCCCGTTGCTTGGCGACGGGCGGCACCCCCGGCAAGGATCGAAATTGCCGTGTCAGAGTTACCACCCCACAGTGTACATACGCCGCTGGTACACTCGCAGCCAAAAGGAAGTCTATTAAGTACATTCAGGGCGGAAATTAACCACTGCGCGGATAAGATTTTTGGGCAAATTGGCGTTAACCAGTGGCGCCCGCCCGGGGGGCGGCTTTGCATATTCGCTGGTGGAACCCGTTTTTTGCCTCATCGTCGGGATTTGATGTTCAATGAGGAGGAATATCAATGGCAAAAACATGGAGAGCGAACAAAGAAACGCGAATGGGAACAAAGGGGAGAACATTCCGGTATTGTTGGGAGCGGACGCTCAAGTGCCAGATCTTCCCATTGTTGGGCAGCCCGAGGCCCCTTTTTCAATGCGAAGAGTTTTTCAGTTATCAGGCGCTTTTTATTTGAACGAAATGGATCGCTTGTAGGGCACAGGAACGGGCCTCTGCCAACCACATCAGGCCGGAATGCGATTCGTATTTTCATTGCTTATTAGTACTGGAATCAGGTGTTGAGGTGCCGCGAGTTTCCCACAACTCATTTTGCATCACGAGTGTCCCCGAAAAAGGAAAAGGGCCAGTGGCGCAGTAGTCACCCACTTGGGTGACTCGAAACTCATTAGCGGACGAGTTATAACTCACAGGGCGGCATCAACTCAAAAGCGCAATTCAATTTTCAGACATTTTAAGCGTTTGTTGAGCGTTCTCGATCTTTATCCGACGATTTCTTCCTTATTATTGACCCAAAGACTTTATAAATGCATATTTGTGACCTTCTGGCGTCGAAAGGAATCGATTGAGCTAAAAAAACACGCATGTGAAATTTTTATTTTTGGTCAACATTTTTTCAAGGGTGTAGGTCGATTTGTGTCTTAAATTTTACATCATTTTCAGCTCACGGACGCGAGAAATGCATTGAAAAACATGGTAGAAGTTTCAGATCCGATATATAATAGACATTTTCGGCACTTTTTGAGTGTTCACGATCTTTAGTCTACGATTTCTTCCTTATTATTGACCCAAATACTTTATAAATGCACATTGGTGACCTTTTTATGTCGAAAGGAATCGATTGAGATCAAAAAACACGCGTGTGAAATTTTGATTTTTGGTCGAAATTTTTCCGAGGGTGGGGGTCGATTTTTTGGAAAAATGAAAATTTTGTCAAAATGTCTTAAATTTTACATCATTTTCAGCTCACGGACGCGCGCAATGCATTGAACTCATTGAAAAACATGCTAGAAGTTTCAGATCCGAAATAATAGAGATTTTTGGCACATTTTTAGTGTTTTTTGAGTGTTCACGATCTTTAGCCGACGATTTGTTCCTTGCTATTGACCCAAACACTTTAAAGTGCATATTTGTGACCTTCTTGCGCCGAAAGGAATCGATTGAGCTCGAAAAATCAGCATGTAAAATTTTGATTTTTGGTCGAAATTTTTCCAAGGGTGGTGGTCGATTTTTTGAAAAAATTGAACTTTTTTCAAAGTGTCTTAAATTTTACATCATTTTTAGCGCACGGACGCTTGGAATGTATTGAAGTCATTG